GTGAATGTGATGGACCTGTCTCTGGTGGCCCTGGGTGAATGTGGTGGGCCTGTCTCTGGTGGTCCTGGGTAGAATGTGTTCAGCCTGTGCATTCTGAGCAACTGTGCTTCAGTGAGTGGTCTCTCAGGGACATTCTCCTGAAGGACAGTAAGAGGACACACATAAGGGCATGATTCATGGAGCTGTTTGTGGTAGAGAGAAGGACAGGATGACCTAGTCCATCACCAGGGTGATAGATAAGTAAAATCTGGTGGATGTGTTCCATGGAACATTCCTCAACTGTTAGAACCACTGAACTAGACATATACAACAACATGGATAAATCTATAAAACAAAATGCTGAGTGGAAAACCTTGGCAGCAGCATGGTTTCTAATGCTCAGTAAAAATTCTGTGAGCTTAGTAAAACAAACCAGTACTATACCTTTTGCAAGACCACCTATATCTCAGAGGACACATGTCAAGTACCTTGGCATGGTGTCTATGAGGGGAAGAAAAAGGCAGCGGGTCTGGGAGATTAAAGAAAACTGATCATTTAAAATATGAAATAACATAAAATAAGAGCTGTGCCCTGTAGGGAACCTTGATAATAGTGTGCCAAGAAGTGAGAAATCTAATTAGCTCAATACTCAGAGTTACGATAAAATAAAATAATAGGAGGCAGTACCCGTGGCTCTTCCCCCTCCTCTTACCAAACACTGTACTATCCTTGACAAAAGCCACATCTCCATCCCCTTCTTGCAGACACCTGTGAAAGGAGAAAGCACCAGAAGTGTCAGCAGGGAGCGGCGCTCCAGACTTCATCCTCATGCCTCCCTGTGGAACAGGCCCTGGGGCTTGTCTCCCGTGGGCGTCTGATCACAGAAGGGCAGGGCTCTGAGACTTTGGGGCACCTCGACTGGGCAGACGTCAGGGGCCACGTCCAGGTAGGTTCTGAGGAAGAAGGACTCAAGTGCTGGCCAGAGACCCCTGCCTTCCACTTGAAGGACCGAGAGGGCGAAACTTGTCTTTCTATGTAAAAGAGAGTTTCAAAACCTCTACATGGGAGGATACAGGCTTAGTATTCTTGGCCATGTGGTTCTTTCTCCCAGGACTGAGTCAGCAAATGTGCCCTGGCCGGCGGAGAAGCAGGGAGGCTTCCCTCTGCAGAATTGCTTGAGCCCAGGGGGCAGATGGGGGAAGAGGAGCAGCGTCAGCCTCAGCATGAGGGCAGAGAGGGTGCAGGGGCGAATCAGGCAGAGCTCACTGTCTCCTGCCTGAGGGAGAGGCCCAGGTGTGGCAGACCGACATCAGCCTGGACACTCCGGCTGTCCTGCCTGGCCGGAAGCCCGGGACTAGTGGTCTCATGATAAGACTCCTTCAGTCCCTCTGTGGTTAGGGAGGGGGCAGAAGTCAACCTAGGACAACACAGGGACAAAGCCAGATTCAGGGTTCTCTGGGGAGACGGAAGGGGCCACTGCCGAGGTGACTGCTCATCAGGCTGATGCAGAGGTGAGGGGGAACATGTGAGGCCTGGGAGGCTGGAGAGGAACATGCACTGGGTAAAGTCAGCACCCTCTTTGGACTCAGTTTCTCTATCTCCACAGCAGTAGGAGGACTGAACCTCCTCTGTGGTCCCCGCTAGCAGGCTGAGCTCTATTTGGGGCCAGAGAAAAGGCCTCCTGACCCAAGGACATGTGGTGCTAGGGCCGCAGGGGAGAAGAGGACAGTCTCACTCACTTGAAGGCACCGGAGTAGCCAAAGTATGGTTCCTGGGAGGAGCAGGCACATTTATTTGTCCCTGTCCCCGCACACAAGCGACACAGGTTAGGGTACTGTGTTCCATCTGCACAGGGAACACAGCTGGCGGAGAAGAAGTTGGCCACAGCTGTTGAATACAGAGAAATGGACCACAGAGTGTGAGCGAGCCCCGGCCACAGACAGTCACACCTCCCAGTGTACGCTCCCTTGGGCAGAGAACCGCTTCCTCCACCCCTGCCTGACAGCCTCCTTGTGAGGCTGGGAGCTCAGAGAGACGCACCTTGGCTGAGAGTAGACTCAGCTGCCACCTCCCGAGGGCTGCTGGTGCAGCAGAGCCTGCCAGGGCATGATTCAAGCTGGCTAACCTCACCCCTACCTTGGATTCACCACATATGTTCACGTGTGTGATCCCAAAGTGGTGGCTTGTGTATGCAACTGGAGTAGAGACCCCTGCCTGAGATCACCCACAATCTCCCAGCCCTCTCACCTTTCTCAAGGGGCTCTGGGGGCCCTGTCCAGTTCAAGTACGGACGAAGTATCCCCACAGGGATGTTCCACCCAGCGGACCTGCCAAGGCCGGTGTGGCAGGACTTCACACCTCGTGTTTGGCTCAGCTGAAAGCCGCTGCCCTTCTTCACTATGGCCACAGCATAATAGTGGGTTTGTGGCTCTGCAAAAGGCCAGCGAGAATTGAAAGCTCTTAGCGTGGACCAGAGGGGAAAAAATAGCCCACCCTGACCAAGCCCCTGGTGGGAAGGAGAACTGTATGCTGCAGTTTCATCTGGTGCCGGGCAGCCCAGAGCCTGCTCTGTTTCCCCAGCAAGCACACACGTGTCCTCCCCCATTGGGTCAGCGTCTGGCCTAAAGGCCCAGGAACTCCTTTCCCAGCAAGTGTGATACTGCCCGAGACCCCACCTCTGCACCTCATCCACTCTGACTCCACAGAGCCCAGGGCCAAAGCCAAGGCCACCCCAGCTTCTGGGTCCCCAGGGAGAACTCACTCCCTCCGGTCTCATAGACCTCTGCTGCTATAGGTCGCAGTTTGTAGGGTTCCAGGCCTGCATCATACACCAAACCACCATCAAGTGTCACAGCATCTGCCTTGTTTGCCTGAAAGCAAAGAGGCCAGACAGACTTCAGGAGAAAACCCACCCTAACCCAGGCAAGTGGATTTCAGGATGTCAGAAGCCTCCATGGCTGGAAGAATCTTCAAAAAAGTCAGCTCTCGATCATGTCCACTCACGTCCTGTGAGAGGTGGCACGAGCCGAGGGACCCTCATTTTGGGCAATGAGCACCAGCTCAACTGCTTTAACTCCTGAGGTTTGCACATGGCCTCTGATGTGCCCACCCGCCTATATGGCTCTGCACTGTACCCTTCACAGTCGTTTATATTTAATCTTGTTTGTTCTAGAAGCTTTCTCTCCTGTTTTTGCTTTATATTTATTTCAAGTTCCTTTTTATTGAATAGAAAATATAACTATTATGATATCTTAAAATTATCATAATAAACCACGTTCATCCTCTTTGGCATATTCTCATATGCTTATGTATTTCTTATATTTGCAATCTGGTATAGATAATATTTTGTGGACTGCTATGTTTATCTAAAACTACATACATTTTCTTACTTCTATAGAGCCTTTATTGATTTTATTGACTTCATAATATTTTATTATAATTTGGTTGTTCCATGATTTATTAAGTAATTCCCCAAATGTTTAGCACTTGGGTTATTTCTAACTTTTTGCTGTCAAAACTATGCTTTCATAGATAACTTTGTCCTCATAGCTTCTCTCCTCCTGATGACCTGTTGCCTTGGGATAGGCATCTGAGGGTGGAATCACCCAGACAATGAGCATGTTTAGCTTCAGAGCCCTGGCTGCTGTTGCCATTCTGCTTTCCAGAAGATTCATAATGCCAATTTGGAATGCCAGTGCCTGTGAAGATCAGTTTCAGTATGGAATCACCAGCTGGACATGCTTTCATTTTATTAAGTGTTACTACTTTAGAAAATGCAAGTGCTGACAAATTGCTTAGGTTTGTATTTCTCTGATTATTAAGGGGGACATTTCTAAGTATTTTTATTAATTATGAATTCCCTCTTACGAATTCATATTATTTTTCTTATTCAGTCCTACCTTTCTTACCAATTTGAGTTAGTTCTTTATAGACTGTAAACAGTAATCACTCTCAGAACTGGTACATGTTCACTCTGGCACTTTCTAAATTTTTTGTTCAAATGTTCTTAATGGCTATGAATTAAATTTTTTATATCTTGAAATCTGTCAGTTTACTTCATGATTTGGTTCATCGCTTAAAAGCTAAGAGATTTCTCTCCCCTCTACAGTTCTGCTAATTAACCTGTCCTCTAGTTTTTCAATAATACACATTTTATTTTTAACCATTTAATCTATCTCAACTTTATTTTGATGCATGATATGTAGTACTGATTTCAAATGGGGCTCTTACTAAAAAGGTGGATTTTGTGAGCTCATTCACAGGTATTTGGGTTGACTGGGTTAGAATAGGGCCTGGGAATCTGCATTGTAAACCAGCAGGAAATGCTGCCGCTGCTCATCCACAGGCCACAGTTGTAGAATAATAGCCTAGAACATTGCTCAAACTAGATTTTTTCCCTAAGTGCTTTCCAATAACCCTAGATATAGTTGGAAACTTTTACGCAAATTCCCCAGGCTGTGCTAGAGTGGGGTACACACAACCAGGGCCCGCGGCAGGCACACAGAACGTATCCGTTGACTGAAGGAGTAAAAATTACTTCCGTAGATCTTATATCTCAAAAAACAAAAAGAATCTGAAATCATCCACAAGTCACGATTCCCTTTTCTCTTTCTCTGCAAATGTCTTGGACAAATGTCTTTCCAACGCCCGATGCCCAGCAGGCCCCGCCTCAGCAGTGTGTCGTGGTGATGGTGACCAGCTGAGCTTATTTCTCTCGGGGTTTAGAGGTGATGATCTTCTGGAGGTTTTACCTTTCAGAGTAACCTTGACTTCTGCCAGTGGCACATGTTCTTCCAATAAGGCTACTTCTGTGTCATTTCTGCACAGTTGTATTAACAGTTCATGCTGAGATCCCAGTTTCCCCACACACGGTCTCTCCACTTCAGAATGTTAGTTTCTGCTTTCAAAATAGCACTGTGTCCTACGAGAGAGGACTGCTCCCTACTTACAAGCACCCAGGAAGAAAGGCAGAGGGAGAAGGGGAGAGCACGTTTTCTATTGTACTCCACTCCTTTCCCTTCCGTGCACTTTGGTCCCACCCAAAATATGGCGCTGACTTACCGCAATGGCCTGGATACATTCAAAGCGGGAGGTTTTCTTTATGCAGTGGACAGAGGGGCCACGCACTTTTTTGATATTCCTTTGGAATTTGATGCATTTTGCTACCTCTGCTGGTGATATGGTGCACCATCGAACTCTTCTCTTAGGGGCAGCCAGACACAGTCCTGGGAGAAAGAGGCCAAGGAGCAAGGGCTGACCCACTGCCCACGGAAGAGAGTGCCTCACCCTCTGACGGACCTCCCCAGACCCCTCCATGTCTCCCTGCTCCTCTCCTTCCCTCTCCAATCTGTGGCTAAGTCAGGCACTCTCCTCAAGTGGAGTTGTCTTGCTGGCCTAATGAGAGCTCAGCGCTGCCCAGAGGGCTGTGACTCTCAATAAATTAGAGGAGACACTCAGAGCCTTTGGATTCTTTTCCTTCCTTTGACTGACACAGTTCCTACCCCTAAAAATATGATGATGATCCCTTGCATCAGTTTACGGAGTTCTACCTGCTTTGTCCCACTTGAACCTGGGAGGTAGGCAGGAAAAGGATTATTGCTCCTGTTTTTCTGGTGTGAAAACCGGCTCTTGAGGAGGCTGAGTGATGGCTGCTCAGCAGTGGCAAAGTCCAGCCTGGAATCCAGATCCCTCTAGATTGTTGTGTCTACAAGCATCGCCCCAGAGGATGCCAGGAACTAAGGAAATACACCTGAGTCTTTGTCAGTAGCTGCAGTAAGCAGTGTACCAAATGGGGCAGTGTGCCTGCACTACCAGCATTCACCTCTGTGTCGGAAGAGGAATCTTAGTGGGGGCATGGAAATGTTCTAAAACTGATTTATGGTGATGGATGCACCACTTGGTAAAGTTACTAAAAATCATTGAATTGTACACTTGAAATAGGTAAATTTTATTATATGTAAAATATACCTCAGCGAAGCTGTTACAAACAAAAACCAAACACTTGGCTGCAAAAGCCCACTTCCCCTTTGGATGTGCTTTGGGGTGGAACACTCGCCCTCTGCCACCTCCTATTCATGAGCCATCCCCTGCACAGTCAGACCCACTAGAGTGTGGGAGGGTGTGGGGAGGAGACCTGTGGCTCCCAGGCTGGGTCAGCAGGGGCTCGGGGGACTGGCTGCCACAGTCCTCCTCCACCAGCCATCATCCTGGGAAATCCCAGGAGATGTAATCTATCCTCGGAAGCCCTCACGGAACTGTCCCAAAATGAGAATTAACCCTGGAAGATTCAGCCATTTGTGACCCAATAGCATTTACTGGATGCACTCTGTATACACAGCACTGTGTGATATGCAGAGGAACATGTAAGGAGACAGGACCAGATCTCCCCTCTGGAAAGGCAAAGGGCCAAAAAAGAGGAAGTTAAGTATGATGAATGCTCTAGAAGAAAACAAATACCAAACCAAGAGTGAGGTCCCCATGACCTGAGCTGGTAACTAGAGCAGGGCACTCCAGGAGGAGGCAACAATGGGCCCATGTGCACAGCACTGTCGCAGGCACATTCCATGCCAGGTGCTTTACTCACACCTCACACGTTCTCTCTCCATCGATCCCCCCAGCCCCTCTTGATCGTGAGTTCGGCCAGCATCCCCATTTGCCAGGGGAGGAAATTGTGGCTTTAATTAGTTATGTGGCTTGCCCAAGTCCCAGTAGTAAGTATTGGATCTAGGAATTGCACCTAGGCAGTCAGACACCAAACCGCTCTGCTCTTACCACTAGGCAGCCTGCTTATATAGGTTAGAGACACGCTGCTGTGGAGATCGGGTTGGTAAAGAGTTTGAGGTCAGATCATGGAAAGCCTCCTGGTCCAAGGAAAGTGCTGGTCCAAGGAGGTCTTATTCCAGAGGTCGTGGAGCTGTGACTCATGGGAGAAAGTAGAGATCAGAGCTGCTCTGCCTAGGGCAGGGAGGAGAGTGGACTGAAACCTGGGAACCAGGCAGAGAAGCACTGGGAATGTAGAAGAGGGCGGGAAAAGGGAGTTGGTGTCAGAAATTAGCTTGGTAATGGATGGGACCTGGGGGTGAAGGGAGAGAGCAAAACGAAGACCTGGCCTCAGGCTGGGGGGAGGGCATGAGCTGGGGCAGGAATAGGGAACCCGGGGCAGAGCTCCCTTCTTCCCCTGGGAGGGGCTGACCAGGAGACTAAAGGACCACTGAGGGGATTTCAGAGACCCACAGGCCCCAGCCCCCCAAACACCAGGGGCTGGGTGCAGAACATGTCACTCCGTTCATCCCCTCTCACAGCTCCCACCATCCAGCTCCAAAGCTATGCGGCCCCCTCAAGACTGAGTGCTCCCTGAAGCAGGTCTGGGTGTGGCCCCTCCTGTATGCCCGACCCAGCACCTGAACTGTGTCAGCCACTCAGATGCTGCCCACCTGAGCCTGGATGGAGACTTCCTGAAAGTACACATCCTCAGATTCCTTCTGTGCAGACATGCAGTGCCCTGGCCTCAAAGGCAGGAGCTGGATGGAGTTAATCTTCTCACCCTACCCAACCTCTGCTGGCCAGGGCACCCATTGGGAGCAGGGCAGGACCCCCCTTGGGCAGCTGCCACTCCTTCCTCAGGTAAGACAAGGGTTTCGGGACACTTTGGGGTGCTGGCCACCACCCCACTGACTGCAGGATTTAAACTGCAGACCTGTGTGGGGGCCAAGACAACCAAAGATGCAAGTGAAAATGGAACCTACTGGTGCAACTCTGAGCGAGGATCCTGGACCACGGCCCATGACCACCTCCGGAAAAGCAAGGCTTCCTACCTCTCGGGCCTCTCCCAGGTGGCCCTAACTCTGTGCTGTGGGCCCAGGAGGCCACACATCAGGGAGCAGAAGGGTCCTGGCCAGGCCCAATCCTGCCTTAGAGAAGAGAAAGGTGACCAACAGCCTTGGGAAAGAATTTGGAGAAGAGGACCAGAAGGCAGGGACAGGGATGGCATCATGCTCCCCAGGTGTGGGGGCACAAGCTCACTGCTGCTCTCTAACCACCCCCTTCCACCCAGGAAGCCTCCAACGTAGAGTAGATGCCCTAAGACAGGAGGAGGCTGCACTGGGCTGATGGGGGGAGGGGGGTCCCCTGGGCTTTCACTCGGAGCCCGCCACACTGCCGAGGGGCTGATGCCCATCACAGCCCTTTCTGCTGCTGCCTCAGCCCCTCCCCCTCCACCACAGGAGGCCCTGCTCTTACACATTTACATCACCAACGTCCATCACTGGCGAGTGCCCTCTGAGCACCCCAGAAATTATTTCAGGTTCTTGCGTACGGAGCTAACCATTGTTTAGTCCCTTCTAGTCTGGGCACATTTAAAACCAGAAATCAATCATTTCTCTCTCACACCTTCTGACAGAGGGGTCCCATCAGGAGGGTCTGTGCCCCGGGGAGGGGGGGGTTGTTGAAGGCTTGTGTCCACTTTGCCCACCACGAAGCAGACGGCACCCCACCTTCTCCTCAAAGCTCTGTGAGATGATGGTTGGACAGTTTTTAAATGAAGAAACTAAGGCTCAGAAAGGCTGCGTCTTGCCCAAGTTACAGTCCTTGCAGGAGCTGAGATCTGAACTCCCGTCTCCTGTGTGTCTTGGGCAAGTCACTCAGCCTTTCTTAGACTCATTTTCCTACCACATAAAATGCATGCAGTACTATGGGTACCAAAGGTCCTAGTAAGACAAAATGGGACAGGGTCCTGGAAGCTCCTTTGGGAAGCTCTAGGCACTGCCCGGACCGGCTTAGAGGATCCCTGCTCTGGCTCCGCCCTAGGCATGGGCGGGACCCAGCCGCCTCTTCGGCTGCAGGCGCAGGGGCCAGGACGCTCACCGGTGGTGGGCACAGGGAGCAGGACGCCCAGCGGCCAGTCGCACCCCCAGGTACCTGCACTCACCCAGGGCCCCGAGGGACAACAGGGCGGGGAAGAGGAGCTTCATGTCTGGGGTCCTGAGGCGACTCCAGTGAACGAAGGCTCTGCCACCTGCGCTGGCTCTGCACCCTTTTATCCAGGGCTTGGTGACCTCACGGGGTTTGCCCCGCCCTTTGGCCAGTAGCTGTCCCTGCCCCCCCCCCATTTCCTTGAGGCTGAAGAACCGTGGAGGGAGGGGTCAGAAGGGGGAGGGGAGAAGGAATGGTGCCTGGGCAGGGCTTGACACCACAAGAGAGGAAACCCAGCCCCCACCCCACCTCCCAAGTCCACCCTGGTGCTGCCTGGTTACTGGGATGTTCTTTCTCTCCCACTAGTCTGCAAGCCTCTGGTGGGTTGCAGCCCCCAAGTTTTGTCCTCCCTCTGGTCTCAGTGCCTCCTAGAGGGTTGGGCACAGAGCAGGGGTCCTAAGGTGAGTATTTGTGGGTCATGTTGATTGCGAGACTGACCTTTCCTTTAGCAGATGGTGTCTAAAGTACCTGAGAGCCAGTCAGGACAAGTGGGTTCGCCTCCATCTTGAGGCAGCAATCAGCCTGGAATCCTAAAGAGGACCCAACTGCCTCCGCCTGAGGTCAGCAGCAGCCTGGGACAGCTGGCAGAGATAACAGAGGCCGCCCAGAGTCTGACCAAGCTGCCCATGGGGTCCCTCCCAGCCCTGCTGAGAACACAGTACAGCTCCCAAAAAACAGAGCCAGAGGTCTCAGAGAGAATGCCCACCACCCAGTGCCCAATGGCCATCTCCCTTTCTCCTTTGCCAATGAGAAGGATGTCCTACCATTTGTTTTGTTTTTATTTTGTGGCAGTATAAGGTGGGAGATGGGCACCTCATTTTGATAAATGTCATATTTTCTCCTCCGTACACAAGCTGACTCTATTTCGGGAAGCTGTTTTTAAATTCTAAAGCTAGAATTTTTCTTCTAAGAATAAATCTTGTAAATCACTCCCAAGATGCACAATGGCTCATGTGCCAGGATTCCAGGGCAGCACTGTGTGTCATGAACCAATCGGAAGCAAACTAAGCATCCATCTCAAGGGGTGTCACACAGAGTGTAGTGCAGTGCACACAGTGGGACACGCTGGGGACCTCAGAAAGGACAGGCTGCCCTGTATGATCTGATGTGAACTTAGCTCCAAGGGATACTGAGTGAAGAAGTAAGGTACTAACAGAGGAAAATCACAGGTCACCTGAACACCCCCTCTTGACGGGTCAGTCTGGCCATTGTGTTATTCTGAAATCTGCTTGTCCTGAAAAGCTGGTCTTGACTCTTTGCTTAGACTGCTTGGTACAGAAAGCATTTCCCAGAGAAGATGGGCAAGAGCTAGGGAGGCAGCCCTGCTGAGGGTGGGCATGCAGCAGCCCCTCAGCCATGGAGAAGCAGACCCAGCCCAGGTCTTTGAGACCAGCAAGGAGGCTATGGGGCCCCTCCGCCCTGGGCTTGGATCCTGCCAAGGCACGAGAGTGGGGTCTGATCAGGAATCCTGCTTGCTGTGCATGAGAGTAAGGTCCCCGGTTCAGCACTAGAATTACCAGCTGGGTGTTGGGGTGACAGATCCAGGGTGTCTCATTGTTTGGAAACACAGTATCGCAACATTAAAAGTTGCTTTCATCAATAATTGCAATAAGCTATTTCAAAAATAGTGAAGAAATACAAAATTGACTAATTCTCAAGAGCACTGAAGATCTTTGTTCCTAAAGTAACAACTCAGCTTTGCCTTTGCGTGATTATAAAAGAATTAAGAAATGTCACAACCCATGTCTCGATCTCTGAGTGCAAATTAGAAAAAGGATGAGTGGGGAGGTCAGAGGCCTCCAGAGCCTCTATGTCTATTACAGCATTGGCGGGAACACAGAGAACCTGGGTCCACAACCAAGAGGCTGAGCTTAAGAGGTGCCCTGGAAGCAGGACGGGGGAGACGACAGAGCAGACTGTTTTTATGCTGTGTCTGTAGGGAATGGCCCAGCCCCAGGCCAGGGATGTGCTCAGCTGGACACATGCAGAGCAGCCCTCCAAGGCCATCTGCAGAGGAAGCTGATGTAAGGGTGAGTCTGCCCAGAAGACAGATGAAGTTCAATTGAGTTCAACTGATTTCTTATCAACATTCGTTCATTCATTCATTCATGCCAGAACTGGTGGGTACCATGACAGACACAGAAAAGATGGGTCCATCCGTGCCCTAAGGAGCTCACAGCACAATGCGGAGGAGAGGGCAGAAGGATTTGGAAGAAGGATTGACAAAGTCACCCCCTCTATCCTGAGCTCCACACCAGGTGTCTATCTGCCTCTGGACAGCTCCTCTTGCAGGTCCTGTAGGCACCTAAATTCAGTGCATCTAAAATGGAACTCATCTGCTCCCTCAGGCCCTGCACCTTCTCCCATATTCCCTACCACTTTCCGCCAAAGCCACCAAATGAAGAGCCTCAGAGTCATCCTCAAATCTTCTGACCAGCCAGCCCTGTATGTGTGATGGGCACTTGATGATCAATATTGGCTGAATGAATGACTGGATGAGGAGAAAGGACAGAAGGAGGGCAAAGTGTCAAGTCTGAAAGACAGTGAGGGCCAGGGCTGGCTATGCTGGGCTGCCCACAGCCTGTGTGCATGGAGTCACTAATTTACCCATTCATTCAATATCCATCCATGGGGCATCTCCAATGTGCCAGGAGCTAGGCTAGATCTTGAAGAGCCTGCAGGGAAGCAGGATGCAGGTTTCCAAATGCTGCAAGGGTGGCATGGCATGAATATAAGGAGAACAAACAAGGTGGCTATGGTACAAACCACCATGTAATGGCAGGACCTGGTGTTTCACAGGCAGGTGAGGGAGGCTAACTCTCTTCTCCCACAACCCCCCTCCCTCTCCATCCCAGAAACTCACACAGAGACCCTTTGCCAGCTCACGGACTGGCCCAAGCTAAGACCTCCCCACAGATAGGCAGTAAACCCCACACCCTGTCCTCCATGGAGTCCTCTAGCTTCAAACCCCAAGAGGAATGCTGGGAAAGAAGTGTGGGATTTGGGCAGAACCAGCTCCGGATGGAATAAAAGAAAAAAGGAGTTCCCCAGACAGCCCCTCACATGGGGACTCCAGCCTGGCGACCCGGGCCTTGCTTCCTGCCCCTGCCAGTGGCTTAAGGTTACTGGCTTGGAAGAGAGCCACTTGTTAAATATTTAGGCATTTTGTGGTGGGTCATTAAACCATTGGTAGCTTGAAATCAGTCATAGTGGGAGTATTTACACCATGGAAATTAGCAAATGCTACAAATCAGGGCATTTTCCCCTCCTGGAGAGCCAGTTTACAGCCCACCGCTGCCTTCTTTGTCATTGTTTGGAGGCGTGCATCGCCCATGTTGGTGTGGGGGGGGGGGGTGCCATCCTAGGAGAGAGACAAGATGATAATCCTCAGCATTTGGATGACACGTTTAACTCCAAACAGAGCTGTCAGTGACTTTGTCTCATGTGACTCTAACAACAGCTCTGTGAATGAAGAAAGTCACTGTTCCCTCTAAAAACAGGTAAACCGAGGGTTGCCTGTGGTCACCCAGTAAGATACAGACAAGAGATGCTAGCCCTGAGTGTCCCGTTAGGCCCACAGCCAGGGGCTCTCTCTTCCCAGGGCCTAGAACTCTCTGAGAGCTCAGGATGCAGAGACTGAGGCCCAGGGCTATCCTCCACTCTTGATCTCAGCAGGAGGGAAACCCAGCAAGCACTGAACTCCTTCTTGGACCAGGCACTGTCCACGCCTTCCACACGTTGGCCGTGGCTTCTGGTCCTCATGGAAGCACCATGGAGTGCCTCAGTAGACCTGTTTCCAGATGAGGGACTCAGACCGAGCAACTGACCCATGGCCACACAGCTGACCCCTATCCAGTGACCCTTTGCTGACCACCCTGAAGAGAGAGCAGGAAGTGAGCCAGAATGAGGAGGAGATGGACTGACAGCTCCCTGCTTCTCAACCAGCCCTAGTCCTCACAGATCCCGTCACAGAGACCATGGTTTCCAGAGCAAGGCCTTCACACTGGCCCCGCATGGGCCCCCTAGCACAGAGCCGAAGGTCCTGGAGAGTCTTTGGGCGTGCCTGGGGGTGGGGGGGCTGCCATCAGGAGGGATCTCAGCTGAAGGGCAGTAGGCAGGAAAGCAGTGGCTTTATTAACTAATATGTCTTGTTGCCAAATGTTGCCCAATTTACAAAGAACCCACAGAGACAAAAAGCTTCTGTCTCCCTGGACAGCCCTCTTCCTCCTCCTCCTCACCTACTCCTCCTCATAATCAGGACCCTCTGCCCCACTGGACCCTCTCCTCACAGGCCCAGACCCTCTGGAACTGGCACCCCACAGACCTGCTGAGCGACACTGCACCCCTCTCCCCGGTGATCCAAGGGGCAGTGGAAACATCCTAGGTTTCCCCAGTTGCAAGATTTCAATTCTCCTGGGCAGGGTAGCACCCCATGTCCCTGGCAGAAATCCAGACTCCATGAGCACCTAATCACCACATCCTCTGAGGTGAGAATGTGCAGCAGGCCAGGCCCAGGGAGAGTTTGCCAAGAAGGTGCCAGCCAAGGGCAGCCTGGAGGGTAGCAGTGCCTGGCCCGGGGCCAGCCATGCAAATTTCTTCCCAGAAGGAATGAGGCCCCTGCCCAGGAAAACCCCCAGGCGGGAAGCACCCAAGCCTGGGGTGCCTTTTGCTGTCCCTCCCCTGGGGCTGCATTCTGGCAGGGAAGGGGCCTGCTCCACAGCCTTCAGCATCTGCAGCTCAGCTGGCTGGGGTCTCCGTGTCTGCTGCCTGCGCCATATAGGGGAAGGCCAGGCGGGCCTTTACTGAGAAGGAGCTCAAGATGGGTGCTCAGAGGAGCGAGGAGCCAGTTTTCCTCCATTTTCCTGGATGAGGCCGGAGCTCTCCCTCCCCAGCTTCTCCAGACGGGAGTGCCCGGGCCCCTGACCACTGCTCCAGGGGGACTTCCCTTCCTCAGCCTTCCACTCACTTCTTCGCTGGACAGCCTGGCCGGCTGGAGGGCATGGGGGAGAAATGGTTAGAAGCACAGGAGATTGAGTTTGGATACCTGGGTTTG